GTAAGCCCGGATTATATCGGGAGCTGTCTCTAGAAGTTCAGATCTTGTAAACCAGCGGTCGTCTTCCGGTTCCTGATAACTAAAATGAACCTTGTATTGTTTCTGCGGACGACCCCTACCTCCAGTTCTGAAGACATCTTCAGCCACTATACCATCAATGTCATATCTTCCCGTTCCTGATAACTAAAATGAACCTTGTATTGTTTCTGCGGACGACCCCTACCTCCAGTTCTGAAGACATCTTCAGCCACTATACCATCTATGTCATATCTTCCATCCATATCAGGTGGGATCATCGATCTACGGGATGGAAACTGATCACTCGTTTGACAAGGTAGCAACTTCGATGCGTGGAAAACTGGATTCGTGTGGAGGTGTGCTGGTAGTTCTATTGTGTAGGACGGTCCATCTTCGCCGCCCTTGACTTCCAGAACAGGCCACGGTCCTCTATATGTGGGCAGTAACTTCTGCGAGATGTTCTCCTCCGGCGCAAACTCTTTAGAACTAACCCAGACTAAGTCGCCTAATTGAAACTGCGAAGGGCGACGATGTTTGTTCGCTTGCTCTATCATCCTATGCTGGGCTTTTCTGAGGTTCTCTACGACAGTAGCTAGTTCTTTCTCGTGCTGCACAGCAAACTCCCTGGTCCCGGGTGGTAATCTGTGAATCTGATCCCGATTGAGTCCCTCAAACGGTCTGCGCGGTCTAAAGGACTTGTGCAGTTCGTTGGGAGTGCGACATGTAGACAGATGCACCCTGTTATTGTACGCATTAGCTACTTTGGGCAACATCTCATCCCAGTTAATCTGGTCTGGTCTAATGTACATGCGCAGAACTTGCTGTAGGATCTTGTTCATCTGCTCGGTCTGACCGTTAGTCTCTGGATGACGGTCGGACGACATCAACAACTTGGATCCATACACTCCCATGAGTTCTTGCCAGTTCTGGCTGGTGAAACAACTATTTCTATCACTAACTATTGACAGCGGGATTCCGTTCTCACTAACCCAACAGTCAAAGAACCTCTGTATGACTAAATCAGTACGCGCCTCAGAAGGCAAAGGAACAAAAACTGCGTACTTGCTAAAGCGGTCAACTATGACCATGAATTGGCTTTTGCCATGCCTGCTCTTGACTTGAGTGTCCATGAAATCTATTGACACTGAGTCTCCCGGCTGATCCGGAATGGGCAAGGGTCTGAGAAGACCTAGCGGGGCGCGCGTAGAACTCTTATTACGCTGGCAGACTTTGCAACTGCGAACATACTCTACGCAGTCATTCTTCATCCCTGGCCAGGTATACGCACGCATAAGATTGGCTAAAGTCTTTTGCCAACCAAAGTGATCCTCTGTGTCATGGCATTCGCATAGAATCAGACTACGAATCTCTTCGATATTGGGGATGCACAGGCGGTCAGACACATAAGTCTTCTCAAAAAGCAACCCTTCGGTAGTGCTGTAATTCGGTTCAGTCTCTGGGGCCTCCTTGACTTTCTTAAGGAGCTTACTATAGATAGGGTCCTGCGCGTAAGCTTCTCTAACCCTCTGCTGTAGGTCCTTCCCTATATCGAGGTAATGTACTATTGCCCCAAAGTAATCCGCTCTCCTACTCAGAGCATCCGCGACTACGTTGTACTTTCCTTTGACCTGCTTGAGCTCAAAGTCATACTGATCTATCTCTGCGGCCCACCTAGTAAGCTTAGGTGTCATCTTGGCCTGCGTCTTTAACCATCGTTATGTCTCATGATCAGAATAGACTTTGAAGTGCCTCCCAAGCAAGTAGTGCTTCCAATGGTCTAAGGCTTGCCTGAGAGTGTAGAGTTCCCTTTCATAGGTAGATGTCGCGACCTTCTCTGAAGGCATTCTGGCGGACATGAACTCTACGGGTCTATAGTCATTGCCATCGTCTTGCTGTAACACTGCGCCTATGCGGTACTGGCTAGCATCCGTAGTAACGACAAAAGGCAAGGACGGATCGGCGACCTTAAGGACCGGATACTAACTTCTTTAGGGCTGTAGTCTTTGTCCCTGTCTCTTATACACATCTAGATGTGTATAAGAGACAGGTCCAAAGGGCATCACTATGAACTCGTAGTGCCCATATCTAGTCCGGAAGGCCGTCTTGTACTGATCGTCAGGATGTACCTCTATCTAATGATATCCGGACTTCAAATCTATCTTGGAGAAATACTTCGCCCCCTGCACTCGATCTAAGAGATCGTCTATCCTAGGCAGTGGCTCAGCATTCTTCACTGTAATGGCATTCAGAACCCTATAGTCTATACACATCCTTAGCTCTCCCTCTTTCTTAGGTACAAAGAGAACAGGGGCTCCAAAAGGAGACGAACTGGGCCTAATCCAACCCTTTTCAAGGAGCTCGTCCAACTGTTTTCGCAGCTCCTCTAACTCCCGCGGGGACATCCTATACACCGCACCCTTAGGAGTTCTACTGCCAGGCTCTATCTCAATACGGTGCTGGATGGGCCGCGGCACCGTGCCTGTCGGCGGCTCAGTCAAATCCTTAAACTCTTCCAGCAGCTTAGCAATCGCGGGGTCCATCGGCTTCTCCTCCGTAGGCTCAGTCACTGGCCTAACATAGGCAACAAAGACCTGTTCCTCCAATCCCTCCTTCTTCACCAGTCTGGCGAACGCGGGGGCACTAAGGCAGCAGTGCGCCAAGGAATTCTCTACCCCTGACACATGGAACAGGCGGGCAGTCTTGGCCTCGCCTAACGAACTAGGGAGCCTACACTCGTGCTCCTTCAAATGGAGCGTGGCCCCGGCTGCCTCTCCCCAGTCCATTCCCAGGACAATGTCAAATGGGAGCCTGTCCTCTACGAGGAGAGTCAGGGAGTGGAGGACCTTCTCCACTTTCCCATCTTTCTCTAGGCGGAAATACGCCTGGATTCCCTCTACGTAATCTTCTACAATCATAGTACGATTGTCCGCAAGGATATCAACTATGGGGTCTGTCAATTTCTGGACTTTAAGTCCCAGCCTCAACTTCTACAGCGCTTTCCTACTAAAATAGCTGCGAGTGGCCCCTGAGTCTACTAGGGCCCCTACTCTACTTCTAAAAATCTCTGTATCTAGTAATATAAGTTGCCCTTTGTTCTCCTTCTTCATCTTGGCCCAGGCGGGCATCCTCTCCTTCAACTCTTCGGCCACGCCTGTGAGGGAGGTGTCTAGCGAAACTCTAACACAAGCAGTTTCGGGATAGCTGTCTAGACACCGGCCTGCAACCTCTGCCGTAGGCACATGCGGTCGTGCCGGCTAGCGCTATTTTCCCCACATGGCCTGGTGGTAGGGGCAGTTGCTACCCCTACCGTCGGCTGCCTTTTGGCCCTTGGGCAGCCGTTCGGGTCTCTCTATACTTAGGACACTATTTGATGATATGGCCCGGGTCACCGCAGAAGATGCACTGGCCCCGGTCCAATCATTGTTGGCATAAAGTCTGGTCCAGACCCAAAGATTCCCAAGGCCTACCCTGCGGTAGCCCTGGGTGCCATCCTCCTACTCTATAGGGAGACCTGTTCCTAGGACAGTTTTGCGGGGGACCTTGACCCCTTCCTCCCGCTTGGCGGTTTCCTCCTCTGCCGCCAACCCCCTGATCGCCCTGAAATCGGCTCCCTGAGGCCCGGCCCCCTTGGCCCTGGCCTCTTCCTCCTTGCGGCCTCCCTCCGGCCGCGACAGCAGCGTAGGATCTCCCCTGGCCCACACCGATGTCCGCCTCCTCTAGCCCCCACTCAATCTGATCGTAGTAGAATCTCATCCACACTACCCTCATCTAAAGTCAGGACAAGGCTATCCTTGGTCTTTACCTGCCCTGAGATAGTGCGGCCTTTCCATTGCTTACCCCTGTCCAAGTCTTTGTGCCAGAAGGTAGACAGGGACACTGACTTTGCTTCAAAAGCCACCACCTCACGACTAAGGGAATCGTAAGTGGTGGTAGGGTCTTCGCTCTTCGCGAAGAACTGCCCTCGAAAGGCTTCGGGCATAGCCCGGTAAAAGAGGTTGACCAACTGGCCCTTTGTGACCCCATGGTCAGGGACGGCCACCAACTCATCCATTGTACCCTTGAGTGCCCTGACACTCTT